GCACATTGGCGGTCTACGTAGAGGGCGTCGCACTAGACACCCAGCATAGGGAGAAATCTGGTGACCGCTTCAGTAGCCGCACTGTATCAACACACTGAACCAGTGTTCCGCCCCTGTACCGGAGGACGACAGAAGTGGTTCGCACAAAAGTGGCGATTCATAAGTGCTTCACGTTCCCAGATGACAGCGCCGGTCGCAACAGAGGTTGCGACACCGCGCATCTTCGTCTCTTCCTGTTCCTCTCCTCCTCTGCCTCCCCTCTCCTCCTCCTCCTCCCCCGCAATGGGTACGTTTTGACAACGTGCTGCCTGAAGGATGAGCCAAGAAAGTAGCTGAGATGGAAGGAGAGAAAACGCATGTTTGTGTGTTTTGGACTGAAGGACGAGGGAGGCTGTTGAACGAGCCTGGATGTCGGTGTATCGGTCTCAGTCAGTTTGATGACACGTTCACTGACATCTGATCTGTGTACATACTGTGCTTGCACCCGTACCCCTGCTTCGTGGGGAGCGGAATGTCCAGCTAATCAAAACTTTGCGATGTCCGATCCCATGCGACACAAACACGCGCGCGACAAACGTGCGCAAGCTCTCACGGAGTTGGCCCATGTGTCTTGAGACAGAAAACTCGGCTCACAGTTGCCAGTTCAGTCGGGGTCTTAAGCAGTCCATACAAACAGCCTGACATTCTCCCCTAATACTGGGATATTCGTACCTCCCTATGGACAGCTTCTGTTTATTTCGTTTCAGCAAAGCGTATCTGGCACAGTGGTTTCCAAACGGTTAAGCAGTTTCCCTTCAGCCAAGTTTAATGTGGTTTGTATATCTAAATAAAACTCAGTGCCTAACTTAAAGTACTTGCGACTGTGACTTTGTAGGCTGCATCCGCATAAATACAATTAAACATTTCTAACAGGAATACGAGCTCATCGGTGGCTTGCCCGCCAGTACCGACTGTGGCCTTACTGTCGCGCATTCGCCTCTGACCCAGTTGACCATCATGACATCAGGTATAGAAGTACAGTGGGATCAGATTGGGCGGGCTTATTTACTATTGGTTGAAGCCCCAGGCAATGCATTCTCATCCGTGTTTCGATGGATTCATGAGCGTCTGGCTCAGAGAGCCGTGGATAAGATGTGCGGTAACAGTGCTGGCAGACCGGCGTTGTCCGGGCAATTCTGATCATTGTTCTGTGTTCTGGCGGCGTCCGATCTGAAATGGTTATATAGGTCTCTGGCAAAAGCTATCCGTCATGGAAACATACGGTTACGACAAGACTGTATGGGTGGGATTTTTGACGACAGTGGTGTTGATATTATGTTGATACTGAAGGCGTCTACAAAGACCAATTAGGGTTTTGAGCAGTCGTTCGCAGTGGAACCATTTTAAGATGGGTGGGGTACTGGTAACATCTGTTTCCCGGCATTACAACCTTAGGCTGTTGCCGCTTATCCTTGGTAAAGATATGTGGTTTCTCCTGTCTCCAAAATTGCAACTATAGACCCCGTCTTTAGCTAATGTATGTGCTATGATCAGGCACACGTACCATACAGTTGTACACGCGTACGCGCTAGAATCACCGCGAATACAAGCACACACTGGGATTGAAAACGGCAGAATCCCAACACGACAGTTTGACCGTCGATTCCGACAATGTTCACCACGTGTCCCACAGTAAGGTGAGAGCAGGACGGTGACTTGTGCTTGAATTAGTTTATGGTTAATGTAGACTTTCTCAGCACCTACCGTACTCTCTCCTCCTCCTTCCTCGACTAAAGCCGGTGTCAAGACGGAGTCAGGAAGACCGGAGGCGGGGAGGGCACAGATGGATGGCACGGTCGAGCCCGCAACTTGGCGCTCCACTCCAAATCCCTTGGTCCACACAACAAATGATCAGGATTTTAAAAACAATAACAATTAGGGGGGCGACAGGTGTCCCAGCGTGCACGACGTCTGCCGGCAACGGGAATTTTGTCATTTGTTATGGTGTGCAATTTCGATAACGCCTGCCAGAATTCGATATGGTCCCTGTTTTGGTCCAGCACATTTACCGCGTGGCCCGTTTGGGGGGCAAAGCACACACACACAAACACAAACAAAAGCACCCAGCAGTTCGACCGTCAATGGCACCGATGTCCCCCGTGTGGCCCACAGCAAGGTGAGAGAAGGACGGTGACTTATGGGTGATTTAGTTTATGGTGAATGTATACTTGCGCAGCATCTACCTTACTCTCTCCTACATCACGTGGACCCGGTGTCAAGACAGAGTCAAGAAGACCGACGACGGGGAGGGCGCAGGTGGATGGCACGGCCGAACCCGCACCATGGCGTTCCACTCCACCCCCCCTGGTCCGCACAGCAAATTACCGGGACTTTAACCAAGAACGAAAGGGTGGCTGGCACGACCGGAGCCGCACCTGGGAGTGTCGCCACATCTGGCTCGGATCCCACGAAGTGAGAGTGCCATAAAGCCCACATTAAGAAGGAGCCATTGCAGCCTAACTCTTGAGCCGCCAGTCGGCCGCTCCACACAAATACACAACAGTAGGCCGACTGCGAGGTCCAAGTTATCCCGTCAGTCGGCAACCTTCCAAGTCACGGCT